GCTGTACCACTGTCACTGATCCTGTAAACCTGCACTCCCTTCAGCCACATCTAAAGCAGTCGGTTACCAATCTCGGGGTAGTGTTAGACTCTGACTTTAAGTTTAATAAACAGATCAACTCTGTTCTACATAAAAGCTTCTTTCGGCTAAGGCAGATAGCAAAGCTTAAGTCCGTTTTGTCCAGATCTGACCTTGAAAAAGTAGTCCATGCATTTATTACAACCCAGCTGGACTACTGTAACTCACTTTATGTTGGGGTTAGTCAGGCTTCACTTTCACGTCTCCAGCTCGTACAAAATGCTGCAGCTCAGCTACTAACAGGAACTCACAGGTTTGAACACATTACTCCGGTTCTGTCCTCTCTTCACTGGCTTCCTGTGCGTGTCAGAGTTGATTTTAAAATTCTCCTGCTGACATTCAAGTGCATTAACGGCCTTGCACCATCATATCTCTCTGACCTCCTTCATCCTTATGATCCTTCTCGGGCTTTGAGATCATCAGACCAGCTGCTTTTGGCCGTACCAAAAACCAGCTGAAGCTCAGAGGAGATCGAGCATTTTCAGTCGTGGCCCCTAAACTCTGGAACAATCTGCCCATCAACATTCAACAGGCCACCTCAGTCTCTGCTTTTAAATCTCTCCTAAAAACACATCTGTACTCACTGACACACCTGTACTCATTGACACATCTGTACTCATTGACACATCTGTACTCATTGACACATCTGTACTCACTGACACACCTGTACTCACTGACACATCTGTACTCACTGACACATCTGTACTCATTGACACATCTGTACTCATTTACACATCTGTACTCACTGACACATCTGTACTCATTGACACATCTGTACTCATTGACACATCTGTACTCACTGACACACCTGTACTCACTGACACACCTGTACTCACTGACACACCTGTACTCACTGACACATCTGTACTCATTGACACACCTGTACTCACTGACACACCTGTACTCACTGACACATCTGTACTCACTGACACACCTGTACTCACTGACACATCTGTACTCATTGACACATCTGTACTCATTGACACATCTGTACTCATTGACACATCTGTACTCACTGACACA